AATTTTCACTATGTTTTCTTGTGGCCCAAGGATCATTTAGAGTTTTTTTGTTTGTTTGTTTTGGTTTGGTTTGGTTTTAGTTTCCAAATATTCCAAACTTCCGTGTTGTGTGGTATTGAGCAGTTGCTTGGAGAAGTAAGTTCATTATTTTTATTCACTTTGTTCCAGTAGTGTTCCCTACACGATATTAATTCTGTGGAATGTTTTGAGATTTGTTTTGTGACCTAACATAGTCAAGTTTTATAAATGTTGTATACATGATTTAATTGAGTATGTTTTTAAAAATACCTGAATGGAGGGGTCTATTTGTGCCTATGATATTACGCATGTAAATTATGTGAGTCAACTATTTTATAGTTTTAAACTTTTTGTCTGCTTTCTTCGTTACGGAGCTATGTAAAATCTCTTTACTAGTCGGTTTATCGACTTTCCTCTGTAACTCACCTAAGACTATCCTGTTTGTGTCTGAGATTCTGCTGTTGAGAACCTGAGTCCACTGCTCTTTTCTGGTGAGTTACTGACTGATGAGCTGAGGGACAGGCATAACCCTCCTGCACCCAGACTACATCTCCAGCGTTTTTACTTTTTATTTTGGGACAGGATCTCACTAAGTCACTAAGTTCCCCTGGCTGAGCTCGAACCTGAGTGCTGGATCACAGGTCCTCACACCTGGGTTGCATGATTTATTGAATCCTCAATTATAGTGACTCTTTTATCACTAATAGTGATTTTTACTTTAAACCCCATTTTTCTAATACTGCATCACTTTTCTTTTCCTCCATTTACCTGCTATTTCCTTGTCCCATTATTTATTTTCAATCTTTTGTGTTAATGTTAGGAATCTTGGGTAAACGAGATCTATTAGGATCTATCCTCATGGAAAAATTTTCTTTTACTTGGTACATTTGGTTCACTACTTATTGTCAGTTCTGATATGTTTGGGTATGAACTTCCTAACTTTACATTTTCTATTTCTCACACTTCTTTTGGTTTTATTTTGCTCTCTTTCCATTGAGTTGATACATACTACCCTTCTGCTTGGGAAGTTACACATTTTCCTTGAAGTCTGCTGCACAAAATCTTTCCTTAAGAAACTGAGATGAGTGTCCTTTCCCTCTTACAAACACACGGGACGTCAGCACTGCCCCGCGATTGTCCGAAATGTGGGTTTCTCTCTTTAGCCCCAACCCGCCGGGTCCTCACTATGAACACTGTTGCTTTACAGGCCCTGAAGTTCACTTAGATTTGCTGATCTCTTTATTGATGCTCACCTCTGTATTTCGAATTCCACTTTACCCCTTTTTAAAAAACATAACCCATTTTTCCAAAAGCGCATCCTTCATTAGCATGGTCTGTAAATGTTGTTTTCTAACAGGCGGTATTTTGCGGGGGAAACATGTCTTTCTACTGCCTTGAAAAGGCCCTGGACTGACCTTTACCCTGCAGCTTTTCCAAGTAGCATCCTGGTAACCTGTGGCCCTTGCATTGCTGTGGAGAAACCTGTCCTGAGCAATTTGCTCTCTTTTTCGGGTCATTTCAGTGTTTTTCCTGCTTTGCCTTCAGAATGCTGAAGTCTCCCTCAGATGTGTTCCAGCATCCATTTATTTCCATTTTAATCTTCTTTGAAGCTTATTTGGATTCTGGTATCTAAATTTTCATATTTCTGATATATTTTAGAAAGTTTTCTGCCATAAATTTTTAATGGTCTATTTCTAAAAACAATCCCAACCTCCCAGGTAAGTAGCATGTGTGGTATGTGGAGCTGTTTTCATGAATATTACCTGAGAGGAGACAGGCTGCATGTCCCCTTTTGTTTTGAGAATCCTTCCTTGTGTGTTTCCTGGACACAATCCTCTCCGTCCGCAGGGTAAACGGGCCCTGGTTTGTCCCTGTGCTTGGTCCTTGGCCCCACTGGGCCCCAGGGACCCCAGCAGTGTCTGTGCAGCTGAGGGGTGGGTCTGGCCCCTGGCTGCATGCTGTCCTCAGGCCCAGGCCTCGTGGTTGGGGCATTTCTCAGTCCCCCTCGGCTCCCGCCCACCCTGGTGTGTTCGCAACTGCTAGGCCAATTGTTTGACCGAGCATCCTTCATGTGTGTTTGTCAGGACTGGTTCTGGTCACGCGTCTGGGGCAGGTTGTCAGGACGTGGTGCCCACGAGGGCACATGGGTTTGTCCCTCTCACCCATGACCCAGTCCGTGTCCTCAGAGCACTTCTGCTCCAGAGCTGCTGTGTGCTTAGCTTTGGGATTTGCAGTCGCCTGTGTGAACGGATGGTTTCTATGTGGCTCGAATGGTTTCGGTGACCAGATGATCACACCTGACCAGTGGGAGCCCTCCAGCACCCCATCCTGTTACCCTGGCATTCACCCCACTCCCAGCAGCTCCTGGCGCTAAGGATGTGTCTACCTCCTCCTGTGCTTTCACTCTGCCAGGCCTAGAGTGAACAGGCCCCCTTACTATTATTGTTGTCATTGTTGTTACGAACTTAATACAATGCTGTCCCTCTGCAGCAAGTTCTAGATTGCTCTCTCACCATCAGCTCCTGGGTGCTACCCCTCTGCTGTTCATGCTTTGTTATTCTCTGGAATGTTGTGTAGCTTTGGGTTGTGAGTCTGTTTACCATTGCAATACTTGTTTCCATAGAAATCCTGTACACCCTTGGTTGTTGGAATTTCTTCCAGAATGTTTTAAAAAACAAACAAAATCAACCTTGTTGAAGGATAACTGCCTCACAGAATTCTTGCATGTGTATATGGGTTCATTTAAGGTACTGTTTGGTACAGTTTGAAATATATGTTATGAACCTATCACTACAGTTAAAATAGTGAAGTGATTTCCTCCCACCAGAGTTTCCTCTTCCCCTTGGAAGCGTACTTCATCCTGTTCCTTGCTCCTGTCCCTGCTTTCTGTTACTCAAGACTAATTTGAATTTTCAGGAATTTTGTTCACAGAGAACCATTTGGTATTACTCTTTCTTTAAATCTATTTTTTCACTCAACAAAATTATTTTTGGGCTCACATTGTGTGAACCAATAGGTCCTTCCTTTTTATTGTGGAATAGCATCCCCTTGTGTCGATATGCCAAAATGTGCTTACCCATGCAGCTGTGAACTGCCATGTGGGTTGTTTTCAGTTTGGGACTATTATAAATGAAGTCCCATGTGTGGCAGACTTTGTACACACACTTCCTCTTCCCCTAGGTGAGACCTAAGCGTGGACTGACCGGGTCACATGGTTTTGTAGGAACTCGCCAAGCTCCCTTCCATGGAGCATTCCCCCCATCAACACCCAAGGGTCACTCATCTGTGTTCTTTAACCTCGGCCGTGGCTTGTTTCTAAGAAACAGTGGTGTTTTGCACACCTCACGGTGCTGTCACTGATGTGAGAACAGCACATGACACTGATTTTCCATAGCTTTTGCAGCATGGTCTGTAATGATGTATTTTTTAACCACGCCCATTTGTTTCAAAGGTGGCACGTTTTTCTTTGGATTTGTAAGTGAACTTCCTTGTCCTCTTGGGCTGGTGGTGCAGTTTTTCTGGTTCTCCTTTCATTGAGCAAGGTGGCCTCTAACAGGTGTAGTTAACATTGGAATGCCTGGCCGGCTAGGCCTCTTAGCTGTTTGCACATTCCTGTCCCTGTTTACTCCTGGGGATTTCCCAGCCTCCCTTGCAAGCCTGGTCATGAAGGAACAATCTCAACATAGAAGGTGTTATTTCCCTGGGTTTAGAGCAGAAACCCAAGTTCAGGTTGTATTGTTACAAGAAACCTCTGGGTCCCTCAGTAATCTGACGAGTATGTGAGGTCACAGTATTCAAAATTACAGTGCTCAGAGCATTTCCATGGATACTTGGCTTTGCAGTGCTTGGGTGCAGCAGAAAGAACATCGGTATATCACCAGTATATCATGGGCTACATAGACATGGGCCTTGCCTAGGAAGTGAGCAAAGAAGAACCAGGGACTGAATTCCAAACAGTTCAACCACAGTGAAAACTGTAATGCAATCAATATGTGGATTACACACTTCCCTTGTTGAACCTGTATTTATGACCTTAATGCACACTCATGTTCATAGATTTGTGCATAAATATATATATATATATATATATATATATACTTAAACAATATAAACAACATGCTCTACAATTGAGAACATTTCTCACTGGAATACTCTTTCAGTGATTTAGTACCAGTAAGCAAATTTTTGTTCTGTTGACTTCCTCAAAACAAATGCGGAATTATGCTTGGTATCTTCTTCTTCCCTTGTTTTTGACATTTCAATGTGATAAATGTATACGACCAAATTACACCTCAGAATTACTTGTATTTTGGGAAAGAATGCCTGTTTGGGAGAATATTTAACGTGGTGTCCCACACATCCCTGGGGGGAACGTATTTTGGTACCAAGGCAACTGTTTTTCTGTCAACGAGGTATTTATTTCAACCCTCACAACTAACACAAAAAGGTAGTGATTCATGAAGATTATTGTGGAGGAAGACACTAAGTGCAAAAAGGGCCAAAGAAAAATTGTTATAAAAACAGTATGATTGGAACTAGAGATAGCAGAAACTGTGACCGTCTTTCATCTGTGATTCTTCGAAGACTGGAAGCACCGTCTTGTGGAACAGACTTTCTTTTCACTAGCAAACTTCAGGCGTTTGTTACCTAGCTGAGTGATACTCCCTGCCTAGTTGTGTGTGCAGCCTAACATTGTGGACAGTTTCCTAAGAGGCCAAGCTGGCTGTGGGGTAGGTTGGAACCATACCACTCGAGCAGGTCTTGGGTGGGAAGAGTTCTACCTCCTTCTGTTCATCAGCATCGATGACTTGAAGGAAAAGCCACTCTCTGCCCATGATGCGCTGAGCACTGTCATTTCAGTGTCTAGTAACTACCTTGTCCTCTAATTGATGGTGACACAAAAACGTTGTTAATTAGTATGTGGCATCCTAAATCCAACTGTAACGTGACCAGTTCCATTCGCCTCTCCTTTCTGTATCCAGGACTCTGGCGGCATGAGGACCTCCCTGCAGGCGGTTGCGCTGTGGGGAAAAAAGGCCCCTCCGCACAGCATCTCTGCCATCATGATCACTGACGACCAGCGGACCATTGTGACCGGAAGCCAAGAGGGTCAGCTCTGCCTCTGGAACCTCTCACCTGAGCTGCAGGTGGGTGAGGCAGATAGCATCACACCTGTGCGTAGCTGGTTGCTTCCACCTGCGTGCATGGCCACATCAAAGAGGCTTGCTCGAGTAAAGATATTTCAACATTGTATTATGAATATTGCTAATCTTAGCTATCAGCTAAGTATTATCACCCTTTAAGCTGAGTCTTACTATTTTATATTCTGAATTATACATTTAAGTAACTGAACTACAGACATGTAAGCATAATTCTGAGCATTATGGCTCATTAATCTAAACACAGGGCCTCCCTGAAAACCGCAATGAACCAAACGAGTAATATCTTAATTGTCTGGCTGCTCCTGCTAATCTTTCAGTCTCTGCTTCCCTGAGATTTTTACGGACCCCATCAAACTGCTCTAAATCCAATTTACTGTTGTCCTCTCCTACTTCAGAAACCTGGCCTCACCTAGGATTTGGCCCATCGATTAGCAATTAATTGTCTCTGTCCCAAGTCATAAACATTTAACATATTGGAATAGATATTTGCTTGACTCTAACCGGCTCTGGATCCAATTTGGACATTTAAACTAATGATGTGCTTAAAGTATACTCCCCTCATTAAGAAGCCTTTTAAAGATCAAATCTATTTTTAGCTTTTAAAGTCTGTCACTTTAAAACCTAAATTCACAATTAATTGTAATTCTATTTTATGGTGCAATTAATTAACACGCCCCATCTCGGGTCAGGTCTGCTCCAGGACTGGAGAACGGGCAGCGCGGCTCGGCCAGTGTCGGTGGCACCTCGAGGGAAGCATGCGCTTGCTTTGGTATCAGCTGTGCTGACCGTGGTGGCCCACAGGACTCTCGGGATGCACATTTCCTGCCGTAGTTTAAGCAGAGCCCCAGCTTCAGACGCCTGGTGGATCCTTCATGGCTGGATGGTTCCCTGGCGATGCGTGGGTCGCCGCGTCTGCATCTGTCCCATGCTTGTGTCGAGCGTGCGTCCTGGTTCGGCTGCCGCGACGAGGTTGCTGTGCGCACGTTACACGCACCCAGGTGCGCTGGCGGGAGAGGCGTGGTGCTGCTGCGAGGCGAGCTCCTAGGCTTCCCGGGGAGGCAGAGGAGGACTTCCGACCTGAATGAGCCTCACAGCCACAAGGCCCTCTGCAGCACTTTAGTGTGAAAACACTTTTTTTTTTTTTGGTACCAGGGGTCAAACTCAGGACCATTTCTTTTTGGCGCTGAACAGTATTTCACTGTGTTGGTGTTCAGTGCCTAAGTTTACCTGCTCATCTTCTGAAGGATATGCGGGGGCTTCCGCTTGTTGGCACAGGCGAGCAACGCCGCTGCAGACGTGCTGTGCGTGCTGTGCGTGCGCTCGGGGACCGCAACGTCCTCAGTGCGGTGCATCTGCAGGAGCCGCGAAGCTCCCGCTCCCCGGGCAGCCCCGTCTGCAGCCCTGAGCCCGGCCGCCCTTTAGCTCGCGGATCCCCGGGCTGGACCTGCGTTTCCCGAAATAGGACGCTGCAGGCTCTGCTCAGCGTCACCCGCTGCGCCCTCTTGGGGAGTGGCTGCTCGGATCCTTTGACTTCTTAAACCAGGCCTTTCATTTTCCTGGCGTTGGGTTTAAGCACGATGTGCTTTGGCGCGCAGTCCCTTGACAGATATGCCTTGAACTAATTCTTCCAGTCTGTGGCTTTTCCTTCCCTCTTCTCTTGGCCTCTGGTTTATCTCCATGTAAATGAGAAATGTGTCTTTATTTTAGAAGTCTTAGGCGACACAGACAGTCTAGAATGAAAAGCTTACCACGCCTGGCATTTGGCCCACAGTGGCGCTCCGCTGCGCTGTCAGTCAGCTTTATGGAGGCACCGTGGACGGGCGAGGCCTTCTCTCCGGGGCGTGCAGTGAGGCTGGGCTTCGTGATGGGGATCGGATCCTCCGCGCCCGCCGGCCTCCTCGCCTGGCTGGGGCGTGTCGGGGAACGCCTGAGCGCTCGGCCCATCTCCAGCCCACAGTGTGGCACGGTCTTGTTACTGTCTGCGAGTGAACACAGGGCCTCACATGCTCGGCGGGTTCGTGACTGTGCTGTTAGCTGTGGTCACACTGCCTCGTCTCACTGTCCTCTGACCGCAGTCTCCCGGCCCTGACCTCGGCCTGCAGCAGCGGAGCTGCTGTCTGCTTCTCTGGGTTGGGCTATGTCGTGGCCCTGGCCCACATCCCGTGCGTCTGTCCTCCAGATGTACGCCTGCTGTCACGGGGCGGTGGGATTCTCTCTCTCGGGACCAAGTGACTCCATTAGGCCTGTGCCCCATCTGTCTGTGTGCTTGTCCCCACGTGGACACGAGGCGTCCCCACTGCGTGGCTGTGGCGGAGATGCCCAGCGCACACAGGTGCAGAGCTGCTGTGAGATGCTATTGCCACCCCTCTGTGTCTGCCCAGATGCGGGCATAATGCGCTGGAGAGTTGTCCGCTCAGACCCCACAGTTTTCCAGAATCACTGCCCACCGTGAGGTGTTCTCATGGTCACAAGGGGTCGTCTTGTCTCTGGTGCTGTTTAGTAACCTCATTTCCCCTCCAAGCGTTGTGCATCATATGCTCTTGCCCGGGCTGCCCGTACTAATGAGCATCAGCGCGGCCTTATTTGTATTCAAGACCTCGATGTGGTCAGATGAGTCCAGCAGCCATCTGGGATTCCTGAGTGGTCCCAAACCAAAACAAGCCAAAGACCATACAGCACAGCCTCTCTACCCCAAAGTACACAGATCTGTGCCTCAGTTTTCCTGGTACTTGCCTGCGGAAATGCATGATGTAGACAGTTTCCTCACCTGTGTGCACAGGGGCATTTGTTTCTTTCAGTTTCCAGTTTTGTAAAAGTTTGCTTTCCTTTCAGATCTCAGCTAAAGAACTTCTCTTCGGTCATTCAGCAGCTGTGAGGTGCCTGGCCCGCGCAGGGGACTTCTCCAAACAGCCCTACATCGTGAGCGCTGCTGAGAACGGGTGGGTAGAGGCTGCTGCGGGGTGAGGCACTGCCCCTTCTCCATCCCCCTGGTTGGGCCTGGTGATGGGCCAGAGTCAGGCTCGGGAAAGGCCATGACTGCCAGGTTGCTTTGAAATATCCTCCTGCCTTCTTTAACAATGCCTGCAGCTTTCATGCACCAGGGATTAAGGGTGTTTACTCTACAAAACCTGCTATTCCTGCCAAGATACTGATTCCCACTCTTAAGTATTCGGGGGATGGTGAATTTCTTCCCGGGTCCATTTGGAGGATCGGGAAGAACTCAGGACCTAAGCGAGAAAGGATCTGTGAGCCCCCTGTCTGAGCCACAGCTGGCAGGCATGGCCCACAGCTGTCTCCTGTGTAGCTAGGGTTCCTGGTGTTGGGCTTGACCATAGACTAATTCAGCTGTTTGTACCCTAGGCCTTGGGTGGCTAAAGAACAGGGGGCCCTGGTTTGGGTATGACCAGATGTCCCTCTCTGCCACAGTGACCTGAGATGCCCTTGTGGGGTCTCCACAACGTACCTGCATCTGTAAGCTGCTTCTTAGGTGGGGTAGACCCTGCAGTGACTGTGGCCCAGCACCTCCCTGCCCAATGCACGATGAGAACCCGGCTCAGCTGGCCATTGTCACTGTGAGGCATCCCAGGCCAGCCAGCAGGGACTCAGTCACTTCACAGTGTGGTTTTCCACTTTTTCCCCCAAAGTATTATTTTATGTGTTGGCTAAAATCCTCAGATTCAGGAATCCCAGTGAACTGTGGTGTGAAAAGGAATAGACACCCACAGACCTGATATGGAGACAAAGCAAAACCAAAGGAAAGGAGATCCCGAAAGTAGACACAGTACTCACAAGGGACTGCCAGTTGCACTGCGGGCAGCTTCCAGCAGAAAGACTGGACAGTGGTGGATTCCTTCCAAGACTGAAGAGAAGATTCCTGCCCACAAGAATTCCGGATCCACCAAGGACATCCGATAGCTTGGGCAAAGTGATAAGCTCTCAGACAGTCATTCGGAATGGTCACTGCCCACTGGCAGCCCGATAGTAATGAAATTCTAAGTGAGGCTCTTTCGGAGTAGGAATAGTGACCTCAGAAGGAAGAGTAGGGATGGAAGAAGGAACACAGAACAGAGCCAGCCAAGCTGTAGGGGCTGTGGAAGAGCCCAGATGTGCGTGCGCCCGTCCTCTCTCCAGTGGCTTGGCCTGGCCTGGCCTCCGGGCTGTGTTGGTGAGAGCCGAGTTCACCTTCGACTCTGGTGACAAGCTCCCGCTGCAATCTGAACAGACAAAAGAGATAAAAGTCAGAGTAATAGAGTGTATACCTTCCCGTTTAGTAAAGAAAAACATTTAATGTGGAGACAGCCAAAGAATCAATGAGGCAAGTAGAAAGCACGTAATAAGATAGTTGAAATAAATCTGGATAAAATAGTAATTCCACTTACATAATGGGATGGAATCTTCTAGGTAGTTTACAAAGATTATCAGACAATTAAAAAAGTAAAAACAGTATAGGGACTGTGAACACTGAAAAGAAAGTAGGTGAAAAAAATCTGTCAAGTATGTAGTAGCCAAAATCAGGTTGATATACTTGTATTAATATTTTATAGTAATAAACATGCAGTTAATAAAATTTGAAGGCAGGAAGCCGTGACATTGATGGACAGGGTTATTGCTTGCTAAGAAACCTTTCAAGTCAGTTGTGTTGGCACATTTCTATAATCCCAGCTACTTGGGAGGCTGAGGCAGGAGGCTGCAAATCTGAGGCCAGCCTGGGCAACTTAGTGCAATTCTGTGTGTGGTCCAGGGCTCTGAGTTGATTCCTTTCAGGCCCCAGCCAGAGGTGTAGGCAGAGGCAGGCAGTGCTCCTCGGACCGAGCTGTCTGCCTCCCCGCAGAGCCCTGTGCAGATTTCAGGTCTCCCGCCCAGACTGCAGCCTGGGCGGGTGACCACATCTGGGTGTCAGGTACCCTGCAGGTGTGGCCTCTCCTGATGGCATCTCCCAATGCCACATCTCTGGGCCCCACTCACTGAGCCAGAGGGAGCTACTGTGGCTCAGGGCGTGAGCAGCTCCAGAGTCTGGTGCTGCCACAGCACCAGGCAGCCTGTGAGGACGGCGGAGGCCCCTTCCCCAGAGCCAGAGGCATGGGTGTCACGGAAGAATAAGGAGCTGGTGCTGGAGAGGCAGAGGAGAAGCGCTTGGCGAGGCCAGAGAGGCACCGAGGCCGAGGCGGCCGGGGAGAGGGTCTGGGCAGGCGGTGGGCTCTGGCTGAGGCCCAGGCCGGGACCGTGTCATCTGTCCCTGCAGACAGCACAGCACAGCTGAGCCCCGAGCTCACAGCAAGCACCAGGTCTGAGTGAGGAGAGGGAGGAGAAGCAGCACAGCTCTGAAACGTGGGCATCCACGCGGGCACTGGCGCTGGCCATTGACCTATCAAGCCCGCGGTGCTGAGGTCAAGGTATGAGGTGCGCACGGCTCCTCCCAGCCTTGTCCTGAGACCGCCAGTGCCCGGGCATCCCATGTGTAGAGGCTTCATCGGCCTCTTCCTTTCATTGAAATACAAAAGTAATTGAGACCTGGAAATTGGTGAACTTAATACTTTATGATTGAAGGTGATCTTATCTGTGTACAAACCCTTGGAGTCGTGTTTGTAAGTGACAGAAAAGAATGTTTCAGCTCCTGCCACATGTCACTTGTGCAGTCCTAGCTAAAATGCCAGGGCTTCTTCTGATGCCATGCACATTTGCGTTTGCTCTCCCTTCTTAGAGCGGATAGGCTGAGAGCTTTAGCTTTGTGGTATTTTTGTGATAAAAATATAAATATGTAAATACATCAAATTTATAATATAAGATCATCAAGAACTTAGCAAGGGGTTAAAAATATAGTGTGGCTGGGGGCGCCTTTCCTGAGCCCTCCCCGGCCGGAGTGAGGCGGTTCAGTGAGGGGACCGGGGTCCCTTCACAGTCACCAGGTGTCCAGCCCCAGGTGCGGAGTGCTGGGGTCACGACTCACCCGACACCGGACACCACCCACGGGCCACACGTCCGGGAGCCAACACAGAGCCGCTGTGGAGCCAGAGGCCTGGAGGGCGATGTTGGAAATGTTTGCTGGTGATGACAGCCTGGCGGCTCTTGTAGAACTAGGGTGACATATTGTTGGCTGCTGGAGATTCAGTTTACCTTTGAGATGTGCCTGTTCACCTTCTAGATGTGCTCCTTGCTGTGCCTTTGACATGTGGTATTTTGATTTCTACCTCTCTTGCCATCTTATTTTTCCATGCATGTATGTACACACACACACACACACACACACACACACATGCACACAGATTTTCCCTCCTGTTTTATAGCTACCTGTGTTTTCAGGTGACAGCAGATCCTCTTGGAAGAAGTGTGGATATGAATGGCAGGGAAGTTACGGACTTTGGCTTCTGGACCCAGAGCATGTTTCTCAGCTCTGCACAGACCATTTTAGACCGCCTAGCCCTTTGTTGTGCGAGCAGAGCTGCACCTGGGCCCTGGCTGCTTCCCTGGTCTCCCACTAGATGTCAGTGGTGTGCTCCTGGTGGTGACCGCTGTCTGCAGCTAAATGTCCTTGGAGTGCAGAAGAGGGACTTGGGGTGGGGACTGGGGACAACATTACCTCAGGTTAAAAACCACCAATTTAGAAGATTGGGTTGGGAAAACACAAACAGCCTTCTAATCCCCAGCTCATACAGTATTTAACATCAGTCTGTATATTTTGTTTCTTAATAACCACATTTCCTTTAATGCCTGTAAAACACTTGTTTTTCTTCTACGGAAAATGTTGCCTATGTGTTGAAACCGTCAACACTGAAAAATCTTACCAAACGGCTAAAACAGCCATTCTGGTGTTGTAAACAGAAGTGATGCAGATGAAGGTGTGCTGCCTCGGGTGTACTCTGTAGCTGCACTTTGTAGACACTGTCTATGTCTTGAAACACATGCAGAACCAAGGAAGAATTCTCAAAGCAATAGTTTTCTCGATGTTCCTTGTAAGGCTGATTTGAGGTAAGCAAACAATACCAATGATACACCAAGTGTCACCTCTGGGTGGCGCTGTTGTGTTGCAAAAATACCACCTCGGCCCAGAACTGCGGCGCTGGTTTGATGGGTTACGCATCTCAGAGCGTGTAGCTTAAATTCAGTGAAATGAACCATTTTCCAGAGGACGCAGCTTCCTTGTCACACTCGGGGGGCCGGCAGTGGGCTGTGGCCCGGTGGCAGGGTGTCATTACCCAAACGCAAGGATGCAGAAACAGTGTGTCAACCCCGCTAATGACCACAGCGCTGTCTTGCCCAGTAATCTGTAACAAAAAGCCACATAAACAATCAGGCTGCACTTAAGGAGTGCACTAAAGAAAAACTTGGGGGCACTGAAATTATTCCAGCCCATCGAGTGGAAATGACAGAGTGACGCCGTTGTGTCTCCTAGGGAGATGTGCGTGTGGAACGTCACCAGCGGACAGTGCATGCGGCAGGCCACCCTCCCCTACAGGCACATGGCCGTCTGTGTGAGTCCTCTGCGCCGGGGTGCCGGGCTCTGCGCGCGTGCGGACAGCCGGAGAAGGCTCTGTCCGCGAATTTGTACTTGCTTGTGAGGTTAAGATGTTCTCAGTCCGTCCGCTGCGTGGGCATTACCGTTCTCACAACTTGCTGCTCGACAAGGTTTTTCTCTGCTTCTTTCATTTCTGTATCTTCGAGGTCGCTGTGTGCACGTTTCTCAGTGACATTCACGAAACGCACCTGCATACACCGGACCAGCGTTAATGATGTGCTCTTTTATAAAGCAGAAATGTTTTCCCCACCCTTTCCGTTTTTCACCTGTAAATTTTGATCTTAATTTTTTCATTTATGCAGAGAGAGCCAGAGGTGCCATGACCTTTATAATCTCTTTGCAGTTTTTTACAACAGCTTTTGAGTTTTGGTGGATGGATTTCCACACAGGGGAGGTATCTGTGGGGTTTCATCGGTACTGACGGTTGGGTTTATTTTTGTGTGTTGCTTTTTGGTGCTTGTGTTATAACAGTCACAGACTCTTTTCTATGTCCCTTGGCCATAGTCCTGCAGTGCAGGGCTCACAGAAGGTGAGATGTGCTATGTGGTCTTTAATACAAATCATTTCCAAAACTTATTTGGCTCAAGAAATTCTCACATGCTCTTCAGATACTTTTATTCCTCATCAACATGTAGCAGTATTGCTACAGTAAAGAACGCGGGTTTTGTTGCTGTTTAGCTTTAAATAATACTCCAGAAACAACATACCTGTGAGCTTTCTATGATTTAGACTATTTCTTCTTTTCAAAAGATCCCCCTTCAGAAAAATGAAAGGTACAAGTCAAACTAAAGCACAAAGTCAACATTATAGAAAATAATCTCAAATTTTAGTTGCTATTCAGTTTGATGGCTTCACTGAATAGATGCTAAAACTAAAACTGAGAGAAGTCTTCAACATAGCTGAAATTGTGTTAAGCCAGGGATGGTGGCTCATGACTGTAACCCCAGCACTCTGGGAGGCTGAGACAGGAGGACCACAACTTCAAGCCCAGCCTGGGCTACGTAGTGTGACCCTGTCTGAAAAATAAGAAAGGGCTGGGCATACAGCTTAGAGCTGGGCCCTGGGTTCTGTGTCCAGTGCCGCAGAATAAAGCCCTGCACAGTCTGGCTCTGCTCTGACAGCTCTGTCTCCGCCATGGCCCTGTAGTATTACCACTGCTCCTCCCGGATGGCAGGCGATGGCTGGCTGCTGTGCTGCGGGGAGTACCAGGACGTGCTGGTCGTGGACGCCAGGACCCTGGCTGTGGTCCACACACTGGTGTCCTCTCAGTGCCCGGACTGGGTCACCTGCATGTGCACCGTCCACTCCGTGCGGGTCCAAGGTGAGAGTGGGTGGCAGCATGGCACTCCACCTGTTTGCCTCCTGCCAAGTGGGACCAGTGGGGAAGCTGGGAGCTAGTCCTGGTCCCTCCCGTGTCCCTCCCGGGTTCAGCCACGGGCATGGCCATGCCACCAGGGACTCCGGCTCTGGCCCAGCCTATGGCAGGAGCTCTGCTGGCAATGGGGGCCTGGGGGCTGCAGCCCAGGGGTGGGGTGGGTTCTCCCCACCTCACCACAGTGATCAGCGATCCATGGCACACGGAGCACTTGTCTTTTGTTTCGAACAACGGGAAGGCAGCAGTGTTTCCTGCCTCCGCAGCCCTGCACCACCCTTCTGTGACCCCAGTTGCTCCTATACGGTGCAGGCCACTCATGTGTGACCTCTGCTGTCTTCCAGAAGATTCTCTGCTGGCGGTGACGGTGACCGGGGATCTCAAGGTGTGGGACCTCTCCTCAGCTATCAACAGCATCCAGGTGGGTCGGAGCCCCTCTCTTCCCCAGGCTTAAACGTGTGTGTGCAGACTTTAAATTACAGGGCTGCTGTGTGCTCTCATTAAAAGAGAGTGAGGAGTTGGCTCCGTCTGCTCCCTCATCCATCTTCCCATGTGGGCTCTGGTGCTGCTGGACTGCATGTCTGCAGCTCGGTCCATGACTATGTGAGTGTTTAACACACACATACAGACATGCTCACACACACTGGACACAGTCACACATGGACACACGGACACGCCCACATACACTGGACACAGTCACACACATACATGGACACACAGACACACATACACTGGACACACACGGCCACACACACACTGGACACAGTCACACACAGACACAGACATGCTCACATACACTGGACACAGTCACACACGGACATAGACACGCTCACACACACTGGACACACACACGGACACAGACACACAGGCCCGTGGGGCATTTTTAATTTAAAAAGTCCTCGAAGATGCAGTGCCTCCTGCCCCTTACGAGGAGCCCCTGTCCAGCGGTCTGCAGACGGGAGGACTGCTGTGAGCCCCGGAACCTCGGCTGGGGCCCAGCACATCCCAGCTCCCTTTGCCACGTGGCGTGGTGGGCAGCACAGAGGCAGCACCTGCACTGGCGACCGTCGCTGTCTGGCCCCCAGCACTGGGTTCGTGGCAGGGTCCCGGGGAGGAAGCCGAGGCGCTGAGAGCCTACTGGGCTCCGAGCACAGGTCCACCTGGCTCCACCCAGCACTCATGGGTGTGGTTGTCCACACATGCTGAGTTACCTACATCTGTTCAAAGCACTTCGCATATTTTTTAAAAATTTAGCAGTGAATACTGCATGCTTTAGAAAATGATCATGGTTTTGTTTGCTCTCTGTGCTGTCTGAAAGTTGGTAACTTCACTTTATGCTCTCAGCACCCAGCATGCTCTGTCACAGGTTTGTTGAGTGACTATGTGAAATATGTTCCTGGGTCCGAGTGCATTTCTTGCTCACAGATGCTCATGCAAGGTAGCTTTGTAGTTCAGAAAACTCAGAAAGACACTCAAGTACTTTTCTTTTTATAGTGGTGTGATCCACCCCTGTGTGTGTGTGAGCAGGTGTTTTCCTGGTCTCGTACAAATGGCCTGGAATTAGTGCTCACGTGTTTTCTTGCCTTTTAAAGGAAAAGCGAGATGTCTATGAAAAAGAATCCAAATTTCTGGACTCCGTGAACTGCCAGACGATACGATTTTGCACGTACACAGAGAGACTCCTGCTGGTGGTGTTTCCTAGATGTTGGAAGGTATTACAGAGTAGACAATGCATGTACGAATGTAACTTTTTTCATGTTCAGTGCCACAGTGACAAGAGTATCATTTAAATGGGGTGCAGGCTCTTCACGATGGGGTCCCTAGAGCATAAGATGCCCAGTCTTTGCTGACTGCTATCCATTTCCAGGTGCTTGTGTCTTGCTTTCTGCTTCCCAAGCCACTGCATGTGTACTTGCATATCTTAATTGTGTAAATGACAGACCATAATACTGAACGTTTGTCTTTAAACTATCGTCAAAGATTGGTGCTCACTCTAGAATTAAAAAGAAAAAACTAGTACTTCTCACCTACATAATTATATTTTTAGAGTTTTCTTCCTCTGTCACTATATTGGTTTCTGGAAACACACATTGCTTTCTTGTGACTGTGTCCATTGATGCATCTCAGAAGAAAGAGAAGCCAGTTACCACCCTATCATAGGTAATATGCTTTCTTTAGTATTTTCTACAACTGGCCTCATTAGCAAGATGATACAGTCTCACCTGTAGGCTGATAATATATTTTGGAGCAAATACTGAATGCACACCGTCTAACAAAGGATGTCTACTATGTAAACTTGTGTACCATAAATTTTCAAACATTAAACCTGGACTATTTAGAAAGCTGAGATTTTCTAGAATGAGACAGTGAGTCTACGGCTGTACCACGCTGAACGCACCAGATCTTGTCTGATCTCAGAAGCTAAGCAGGGCCGGGCCTGGTTAGCAATGGGGTGGGAGGCAGTGAGGTGAACTCCCCGCGAAGCCTACTTCAGAGTGAGTGTGAGAAGTCAGTCCCAGTGAAGCCCCACCCAGTGGTCAAGGCCCTGGGTGACCATGAGGGAGCTGTCTGAGTGTCCCAGTGGGCAGGGTGCCTTTTGCCTGCAGGCACAGCGTGGGGAGCTCCGGTGGACACTCACTGTGTTCTAGGTGTACGATTACTGCGACTTTTCCCTCCTGTGGACGGAGGACAGCAGCAGCGGGCGGCTCTTTGCGGGAGGAGAGGTGCTGGCCGCCCACAGGGTCCTCGTCTGGACCGAGGACGGCCGAAGCTACATCTATCAGCTGCTGAACAGGTGGGCGCAGAGGGGCAGCACCAGCACAGTCAGGTAGAAAATGAACTTCGGGAGGTTTATTATGGAAGCCCCGCGTGCCGCCCGTGATCAAAAAGCAGAACAAAACAGCTCTGGCACTGGGAGATTTGCTGCGGGCTTGGTGGGCTCCGGGCTTTGTGCAGAACAGCGGGGGCGGAGGAATGAGATTAGCCATGTATAGCTTGTCCAGCTGGTGCCTGGCTTCCAGAAAGTCACTTGTAATTATTAACCGACAGTTCTGAGGCCGAGTGTAGAAATTTGAATGGGACCATCCGGCTTTTGAAAGTGGGCGCTGGGGGGGGGCGGGGGGAGGGGGGAGAACCACACAGTTCTCAACTCTGCTTTTTATTTCTGCCATGCAGTGGGCTTTCCAAAAGTAGCACCCCAGCCGACGGCAGGCTGCTGAAAGAGACCATTTACCCCCATTTACTGTGCTCTGCTTCCGCGGAGGAAAATCAGGTAACCAGGAGCAGAGGCCTCCTGACTCCACAATACAGCTGAGCCTCAGGCAGGGTAGCTTTGTTCCTGGCAGAGTCAGCTGGAAAAGTTAGGCTGAAGTGTCACATTCAGTTGATAATGAGAAAACCAAGCTCGGTTGTTCATGTTCACCGAGGAGGTGATGCTGCCCTTAGGTGTCTGTTGTTTCAAAGTTTGATTAACAAAGTAGTATCTATTTACTATGAGAAGAATTACAACTTTTGAGGAAAATAAAGGAGAAACTAAAATTCTGGTATCACCACCATAAATATTTACTGTGACTTGTCAAATTTTGTCTTATGTATTTACTCATTGCAGTTGAAAAAATTTCAAATATTTGGAAAAATACTGCAATGTTACAATAGTACAATGATCGTTTATATATCCTTTATGTAGATTCACCTATTAGTAACATTTTAGTCACATTAGATATTTGGAAAAATATTAGAGTAGTACAGCAATCATTATACATCCTTTATGTAGATCCACCAGTTGATAAAATGTTCGTCACATTTATTCTACACCGCACCCCCTGCACACACATGCACAAACCTCATACCTGTTGGACCCTTCTGATAGAGAGCTGACAGAACACTGTTTACACTGATGGCTTTGAAACTTTACGAAATGGTTTTTATCCTGAGTTGTTTAACTCAGTCATATATTAAGATCACTTTCACATGAATTCAACCTTTCTTATGAGTAACTTTTCTTGGTCAAACAAATATAAGTGTGATTTCTGGCTGAGTTGGGAATATAATTTTTAGTTTATTACTTGACTGAATTATGCATCTAACACTCTAGGAGGTCTGAAAATCTAAGTAGGTATTTTACTGCAGTGGTGGGACCCACAGTGATTTTTTTTAAACCTCTAGACTCAGTCATCAGTTATCCAAAAAGGTATTTCATGGAGAGAGGACACGTTTTGAATTATTAAGAAAGCACGCCACTTCTTACAGAATGATTGTCTGCTTAATTAGGCAGAGTAGCTGTTGGAAATCCTTTAGTTCAGTAATTGTCCCTTCAACATATCAGTGGAAAGACTGCAGAAGCTCAGTTAAGAAGCTGACAGCCAGCGTCATGAACCGGGCTGGCTGACGCGGGGCAGAGGTGGCTTCTGCTCAACAGCATGCATCATGCATCGGCGGCTGTTCCTGGAGTTGCCCACGGGCAGCACTGGGGAAGCACATTCACCTTCAGGACCTGCTCTTCCTGCTTCTGGCTCCAGGGGGATTTCTGTGACACAGTTTACCTTAGAAGTCCAACATAAGTCAACCCCTTTAGGACCTTCTAACCGACTGCAAATACCAGCATCACATGCATAACAGCTTAAAAATAATTTTTTTCTCAGTGAGTTCATTATCGATGCTTAAGAATGCTATTGATTCTTGTGTGTTGATTTTGTATCCTGCTATACTGATGAATTTGGTTATTAATGCTTGGAGGCTTTTGGTAAATTTTGGAGGGTCTTCTTTGTAGAGAATCCTGTCCTCTGCAAATAACAATTTGACTTCTTAGTTTCCTGTATATATCCTTTTTATTTTTTCTTGCCTAATTCCTCTGGCTAATGCTTCGAGGACTATTTTGAACAAGAGTGGTGACAGTGAACATCCTTGTCTTATTCCTGATCATAGAGGGAAGGCTTTCAATTTTTCACCATTTAATATGATGTTGGCAGTAGGTTGCCATAAATTGCTTTTATCATACTGAGAAAAGGTCCCTCTATACATATTTTCTTCAGGGTTTTTATCATAGATGGATGTTGGACTCTGTCAAAGACTTTTTCTCCATCTATTGATATGATCATGTGGTTTATGTCCTTGCTTCTGTTAATGTGATGCATTACTTTTACTGATTTGCGTATGGTGAACCATCCTTGCATCTCTGGGATGAATCTTCCTTGGCCGTGGTGAGTGGTCTTTTTGATGATTTGTTGTATTCTGTATGCCAGTGTCTTGTTGAGGAATTTTTGCATGTATGTTCATTAAAAAGATTAGCCTTTAGTTCTCTTTTTAGTTTCAGTCTGTCTGGTTTCAGAGTCAGGGTAACCTTACATTCTAGGAATGACTTTAAGAGTGCTCCTTCCCTTTCAGTTCCATTATAAGCTTGAAGAGTATTGGTGTTAGATTTCCCCTGAAGTCTTTGAAGAATTGAGCTGTAAATCCATCTGGGCCTGAGGTCTTCTTGGTAGGATTTTTTATTACTGCTTCTATTTTATTGCCTGTTACTGGATTATTCAGGGTTCCATTTTGGTAATTCAGGTGGATTGAGGAGTCTGTCCATTTTTTGGCATACAGGTTTGCAAAGTAGTTGATAATAATTGTCTGGATTTTGGCAGTGTCTGTTGTGATTTCACTTTTTTCATTTCTAACTGCATTGATTTGGGTCTTCCCTTTGGTAAGATTGGCTAAGGCTTTGTCTGTTTTGTTTATTCTCTTGAAAAACCAGATTTTCAATTCACTGATCTTTGTAGTTTTCTTTTTTTTTTAGTCTCAAACTCATTGATTTCTGTTCTACTCTTTATAATTTTCTTTCTTGTACTAGCTTTGGGTTTGGATTGTTTTCACATTTTTCTTAGACCTAGAGTTGGGTGGTTAGATTATTTGAGCTCTGTGAATTCACTGAGAAAGAAATTACACAAAGAATACCATATACAATATCAAGAAGAAAAATTAAATACTGAAGAATTAATTATTTTTCTCATTGCTGAGATAAAATACCCAACACACACAAGTTAAAGGAGGAAAGGCTTATTTGGCTTACAATTCATAGAGGTTTTAGTCCATAATCAGCTGGCTCCAAGACAGAGTGGTAGGCAAAGACAGCAGAAGCAACAAGAGACCTTAACAGTGTCTCTCTGCTCCTTTTATCTTATCCAAGCTACTTAGGAGGGGTAGCACTCATGCCTTTAATCCTAGTGCCTTTGATCCTAGCACTGCACCATGAATCAACTCCAGTGTCACACGTTCTAGATCCAGCCTCCTCTGGAAAATAAGCCCCACCTATGACCTCATGAGGCTTTGGGGGGATGTCTAAACACAAGCCATAATACTAATGAAATGAAGGAGCTCTAGAGTGAAAACTGCTCTGAGAAAGGAGGTCAAAGAGGACATCAGAAAATGAAAGGACATCCTCTGTTCCCATGCAGGCAGAACCAATATAGTCAAAATGGCCCTCCTTCCAAAACTGATATATAGATTTAACCCAATCCCAATCAAAGCATCAACAGCATTTTTCACAGAACTGGGGAGAGTGCTCCTAAAATTTATATGGAACCAGAAGAGACCAGAATAACAAGCATAGCCCTGGGTAACAAGAACTAAGTGGAGGCATCACAATCCAAGTTATATTACAAATCTACAGTGATTAAAACCAGCATGGTACTGGCACAAACACAGGCACATGAATCACTGGAACAGAGCAGAGGATGCAGATACCACCCCAAGCACATTAACTATTTGACCCTTGACAAAGGGGCCAAAAACACACACAGGAGGAAAGATAGTGTCTCTGATTAATGAAAAGTATTGAGAAAATTGACTCTTCACATTCAGAAGACTGAGTCTAGACCCATGTCTTCCACCATGTACTAAACTAAAATCAAAGATTAAAGATACAAATGTTAAAACAGAAACACTTAACCTGTTGGAAGATAAAATAGGTAAGTAAAGCCCTTGAAGTCATAGGTATAGGCAAGGACTTGCTGAATAGAATTCTGGTTGCACAGGAAATAGTACCAAGAATCAAAAAATGGAATCATGTTAAGCTTCTGCACAACAACAGAGTGAAGAGACAACCTACAGAATTGGAAAAAAAATTTTCCAACCACTTCTCAGATAGAGGACTAATATCTAGAACATATAAAGAACTCAAAAAATTAGTGCCCAAAATAAAAGACCCAGGCACAAACTGGGCAAGTGAAATGAATATAGACACTTCTCAGAAGACGAAGCCAATAAATACATGAAGAAATGCTCAATATCTCCAGCCAGTAGAGAAGTTCAAGTGAAAACAACACGGTGATTGCATATTACTGCAGGAAGAATGGCCATCATGGAGACATCAGATAACAGCAAATGCTGCTCAGGCTGTGGGAATAGGAGCACTTCTACACGGTTGATGGGGATGTAACCTGGTACAACCACCATGGAAACCAGTGTGGAGAGACTTCCCAAAAACTAACACCAAAGATTTCATCTGACCCAGCTATTCCCTTTCTAGATATCTTTCCAAACGAGGTAAAGACATTATAGTACAGTGACCCATGCATAGCCATGTTTATAGCAGCACAATTCATAATAGCTAAATCTTGGAAGCAGACTATATGTCCATCAGCAGATAAATGGATAGAGAAAATGCGGTGTTTACACACAATGGAGTGCTACTCTGCCATAAAGAAGGATAAACTTGAGTCATTTGTAGGACAATGGAAGAACCTTGAGACCATAGTTTTAAGTGAAATAAATCAGACTTATAAGGTTAAACACCGTATAGTTTCTCTTATATGAGAAACTCAAAGTATTATATAAATAAAGAGCAAAACAAAAGTTAGATACTGGGTAATTGGGAGAGTGATCATTCTGAGGGAGGAAGGGGATACAGAAATGAAGGGAATAGAAGGGAGGAAGAGGTTGAAGAAAGAATTGAGCCGTGTGAGCTCGCAGACTGGCTCCCCACGAGAGAGGCGCCTAAACGTTATGCACTGCAAACAGGACTAGTGACAAAAGTAAAACAAGAGAAGCAGAAAGGAACCTCAGAACACTAATGGGGAGTTACTGTACCTCAAAACACGCAGCCATGTGTGGGCCTTCCAACCACAATTCTACAAGCAACTGCAGTAGTTTCTGCATCTTAAAGGCGTGTGACAGGTGCAGACTGGTGTGGGCTGGAGGGAGTCGTGGGCCTGCTGGGCCTGCTTGCCCTTCGTGAGGCTCAGTTAAAGGCAGGCAGAGTTCTCCGTTCAGTCTCCACCACTCACTGAGCCACAGCCTCTGCTAACAGCTAAAGACCGTGTCTGAGATTGGCGAGACCCCAGCGCTGCACACTCAGTGGACACACGAGGCTTGCTGTGGGCGTGCTGTGCCTGTGCTCATTGTGGAGGCTGCAGAGTGCCTGTCTCAGCAGGTGGCTGGGCTCTGTTCCTTATTTTCCTGCCGTAGGTGCCTGGCAGTGGTCATGACAGTGCATACTTCCTAGCTTTGTGTGGAGTAAATGCACTCGTAGCTTGGTCCTTCATATTCTCTGCAAATAAGCTGCAGAGGTTTCCACTCCTACATGTAAGTCTGGACTGAAAAGCAAGTATTTTCTGTCTAGGAGCTGTTTCTTTAATTCTGGCACCAGCAGTTGGCCCTCTTTACGGGATGCCTTTATTTGTACATCAGAAGCGGGCTTGGTTGCCTCCCCATGAGGAAATCTAGCTGGCTCCCAGCTTCCTCAGCCCTGCAAGACAATGACAGTCCCTAGGGCACAGGGTGTCCCCAGGGTTGTTTAGCCGAGTGTGTGAAGGCCCTCTGGGTGACGTGTGCACATGACTGTGTAACGATGCACAGGCCGCAGCCAGCAAGTGTGAGATACCCGTATCCACTCTGAAGTTTAGCTGATGCCTTTGCTTTTGGTTTTGGATGTCTTTTTGTCCAAAATCTCAGGTCATTTCACTTACTTCACTGGAAACTTTTGAAACAATGGGAAATGAAGGGAAAATATCTGTTTCAGTTGTGCAGGTCTTGTCCCTCGGTTTAAAAACGACAGCTGTCTCTAAGTCACAGTGCTCCCACCTCAAAGCTCACCTGTGCTTTGCAGAGCCTGCCATTTGTCATGGGATATGTGAACGAAAGGAAGGAACCTTTCTACAAGGTGCTGTTCTCTGGAGAAGTGTCAGGGAGGATTACTTTGTGGCACATCCCTGACGTTCTGGTGACCAAGTTTGACGGTTCTCCGAGAGGTAAGATTTCCAGCCCCATCTCTTCTGAGAACTGATTTATAACTCAGTGCTGTACTATGATACTTAAGATGGGCCTTCATTCATTGGCACTGCGCTTGCCTGGCAAGTGCAAGGTCCTGAGTTCCATTCCTGGTACTGAAAAAAAAAGGGCCTTCAGACAAAAAAATTTTTCTCACATACTACTATGTGTTAGATGCCAATATATGAGGTATGACCAAAATATAAGGTGACTGTTTCAAGTAAAGAAAGTGTATTACAGTGGAAGACACACTGCCATGAATTTCCTTCAAAATCCTGCTTGCTTATCCCATTGTTCTTGTCACTTGCTGAAGCAGTTCTGAAAGTCCTCTTTCCTGAATGTCTTTATAAGGTGAGATCAAAAATATGATGAATGCCGCTGCTGAGCGCCATTCCACAGAAAGGCAGCTCATAAACACAATTAAAATGTGTTACATGTATGTACCAACTCCCCATGATAAATATAATCATGATCTGCTGCAGACGTACACTGATCTAAATTTGAAAATTAACTTAGACATTACAGTGTGTCGGCATCCACCTTATTTACCTGATTTAGTACCATGCGACTTATGGCTCTTCTCCAAGGTCATTTTGACCTCAAAAGGGAAACATTCTGAATGGATTTGGCTGTCAGGACAGCCAGGACTGCACAAGTACACTCAGAAAAGAGGACTCCAGAGCTGCTGCAGAAAATGGCCAAAAGCAAGGGATAAGGGTATTTGAAGCCAGGAGGAGTATTTTGAGGGGGACTAATGATAATGTGTCTTTTATTGCAATAATTTTTAAAAAAGCTAAACATTCACTGTAGTTTTCGATCACGCCTCGTAAAAGCAGGTGTAGATGTGAACCTCACAGACCTGATTCACTGCAACCAGCGTAACTCAGAACAGCACCAGTTGAACGTAACAAGGATGGTGCTGGCCGTGTGCATCGGATCGGCTCCTCCTCCATCTTCATGGTTTTGAAGATGATGTCTCCATGGTGTTTTCCCCATTGTGAATTGATAAACCCTAACTCCCCCTTTCTGTGTGTTTTCCTTTTAGAGATACCGATCACCACCACCTGGACACTTCAAGATAATTTCGATAGGCATCACATGATGTCACAAAGCACCCTGGACCGGTTCCCTGGGCCTGGGGGCAAGGCCGGGGCTGCAGCTGTGACAGCATCAGAGTACGTGCCCGGCCTGGACAGACTCATCTGCGGCTGTGAGGATGGCATGGTCTTCATCACGTGGGCGCTGAGCGCGGCCCGAGCAGGGCTCCTGGACAGCGGCTCTGTGCCAACAGGTGATTGGGTCCTCATCCAGGCTTCGACCTCAGGGCCTCACACTTCGCCACGGCGCATTCAGAGCTGCAGGGCCTGTTTGCTGACAATTGTACACATTGTAATACTAAGGCAAAGCACAGAGGTTTTCAAAACTCAGGCAGAAAGTAATGCAAGGAGAAATACTTCTCTCCTTACTGAGCTTCCACTTGCTTTTATCAAAGGCAACTGTGAATAATAGTTTCTTTGTACCCTGCTTGAAATTTTCCACGTACACATAAGTACAGACTGTACAGTGGTGTATGTGATGTAATTTTAATACACAAATACTGCTTACCCCATACACTTTGCTAAGATGTCCTTAAAGGAATCTTGATAAAGTATTTTGATGTTTATTCTTTATAAGCATATTTAAATGTCTAATAATCATCACATTTAAATTTAAAACTCATTCATTAGTGTTTATCCTTTCTAGTCTTTAAGTACATTAGACAGTGAAGGATTGTTCATCCTTACACATATATGTAGTTGTACCTGTAGCGCTCACCCCCGGGAGTAGAATTACTGGATCAATATTTGGTTTTCATTTGTTTGCTTGTTTGTTTGTTTTGGTACTGGGGATCAAACTCGGGACCTTGTGCTTGTGAGGCAGGCAGCAGAACCACTGAGCTACATCCCTGGCACTTGTTTTTAGTTTTAATTTGGGAAATGTATCTAAAAAGTTCTGTAAAAACCTTGCATCACTAGATATGCACGCCCAGTAGTAGCTTATACAAATGCCTGTTTCCTCAAACCTTTGCCAACTCTGTGCACTATTTAGCTTTAAAATCCTTGCCAATTGGGAAAAAATGGTGTCTTCCTGTTTTAATTTTTCTTCGTTAATGAAATCTGTATGTGTGTTTATTTATCTTGGTGCACAATTACAACAAGTACTTAGATACTGCTATGCAAGTTATCTATATATGGAGGAAAACAGAAGGAGATTGAGAGTTTAGGTTGTGTAGGGAACTGTACACCACTGTGAAATTGTGCACTTCCTGTTAGGATGTGAGAGCTTGAGGAGAGTTCGTTCTCCCTGGGGCAGGTGGGGTCCACTGTTGTTCTGACTTCCTTCGGCCACAACCTGGATGCTTCTGACTCATGACTCAGCGACACGTGCGCATGAGTGGCTGTGAAGAGAGCAGAGGTGATATCTACAGCCAAACAGCTGTTAGAAGGCCTTGAAAAATCTAAGACCTTAGCGTTTTTATCTAGGCTGAGTTATTCTACTGTCCTGGAAAAAAAGCATAAACTCAAGCTTGACCTGCAGCTTCTGAATTAATGCTCATGATTTGCTAGGGGATGAAAGGCCGGATGTGCTTTATGGGCAGGAGCAACTGAAGTAAATAGTGAGTGTGGGGCTTCACTTTCACTGTGAATGGAGGGGAGTCGTGGCTCATGAGTTGTGGCTCGCGAGTTTTGAGGAGCTCAAGTCATAGTAAGAGGGGAGAAGCTTGTTGGTGAGAAGAGGAACAAAGTGCCCACAGTCCCGTGTTGGCACAGGTGGGGTCTGAAATAGCCGTGGGCCTCCTACTGCGTGCCTCCTACTCCAGGCAGAGTGCCAGAGTTCGAGGGAACCATGGGTTTTTCCCTCACCCCCCAGCAGTCTTTCTGAGGTGAGAGTGGCTGTTACCTGACCTTCCAGAAGCACACGTGTACGTTAGAGGGAGAGACCACTTCCTTGTCATGAGTCCATGTGCCACATCTAGCAAATGACCGACCTGAGATAAAGGGAAGGTCTCTAGCAGCAGACCTATGTGTGCCCTTAAAGGTTACCTGAGGTTTTGACCCTTGGAATTAACTCTTTTAGCCTATGTGAGGCTCACATACCTTATGCAAAAAAGAGGTAGAAATCCATAATCTCCAACAGTTTTTGAACCAAAATGTTCTTATGTTAGGTGTGCCTTGATCATACTATTGTAGAGAGCAGGAGTAATGACCTAGCTTTTTTGTGGAGCAGAGATACTAATTGTTCATTCCTTCGTGGACAGTGCTGCTTCATGGTACAAGAACTGGTAGCTTGCTGCATCCATAAGGAATTCATAGGCATGAGCAACCAACTTTAGTGCTTTCTGCAAACCTTCATCTGGCTTCCGAGGAGGAACTCCCCTCTAAGGCAGTCTAAAGACTGCTCCCTAATTGTTTATTTTTTTGGTACTGGGAATTGAATTCAGGACCTCACGCTTGCCAGGTGGGTGCTGTACTGCTGAGCTACATCCCTGCCTTCTAATTGTTTTAGACAAGTGCATGCTTACATTAAAAAAATATATAAGAAAATGTCAGAGTTACTTCCTGAACAAAGCAATTTTTGCATCATGTGATATTGGGTTGTTGTCCAGATCCCCCTGCCCACAAAGTCCTTAGCGGCCACCAGCATGGTGTGACTTCGTTACTGTACCCTCATGGCCTCTCTTCAAAGTCCGACCAAAGCTGGCTGCTGTCGGGGGACCAGAGCTCCTGCGTCATCCTGTGGGACATCTTTACTGAGGAAGTGCTGCATAAGTTTTTCTTGGAAGCTGGTCCAGTAACGAGTCTTCTGATGTCACCAGAGAACTTCAGAGTAAGTTAAAAAGGAAAAACACACAAACACATAATTTGAGTTATGTAACACTGCAGGGATATTTTCAAAAGAAGGAAAAATGGCCCCTATTCTCACAGGAAAAAAAAGTTCTGTGTACTCATAATGTAACTGGTGATTTTTTTCCTATTCATTTCTAATCTTTTATGTTAATTTTATTCTTACTTACACAAATAATTTGGTTCCAGAGCAGATATTTAATTGCAACTTTACAATAGACAATTTTTGAGTATTTACCCTTTCTCCCTTTTAGTTCTCTCTGTTAATGTTTTTAAAATAAAATAGATAATGCAAATACAAGTCAAACAATGTAAGAATCTATAAATTAGAAATTAACTTGTGCTTTCAACAATTTGTTTTTATACTACTGTTAAACAGTTGCATTGGTTTTTCATGAATTTTATTTGCTTGTTTATCTCTTTAAATAAATATTGAGCTTCAACGAGTTTATGATCACTTCCTTTATGCTAGGCAAAATGAAACAGTTTTGTGTGTAATTTTCTCATGAAACATCAGCTTAGATTCTGCCTCTAGAGTTCTGCATCTTTGTTAAACGTGAACAGCCAGCTTTGCGTTTCCTATGCACAAAAAGCACAGGGTAAAATGAGGAAAGCGGCTTTGTAAAATAGTCAATTGGCTTATAATGTTATTTCTCCACTATATTATGAAAAATCATCTCCAAATTAAACGTGGAGAAAATTTAAGACATAAGGAAGCAATATTTTAGCAACACGTGATGAAATCAAAGAGTGAAACTACAGTGAGTATGTAAAAGAAAACTTCCATGTAGTGATTTGGAATGCCTTGGCACGGCATGTCTTTTATTCCTGAGCGCCTCCTTTTTCTTTGCTTTGTTTTCAATCGTATTCTCTTTCAGCGACAACACGTCAGTCCAGCACATTTCCCCCGCTCCTCTCTCACTCCCGTGGTAGTCACAGATGACTTCTCAGGAGGCTCATTCTCACAGGTCTCGCCCAGGGTCACTACTGACAGCAGGGCAGCAACCCCAGGGGCCTCTGGGACAATCCACACTAAGGCCTGGGGACTTGCAGGAGAGCTCAGAAGCCAGGTCCCCTATGCCCAAAGAGGTTGCTTTTCTTGTTTGATTCCTCCTCTCGCTCCTTCCTAAGAATCCATTTTTCAGCTGCCTGGATTGGCCTCACTCGGGCGGTGACTGTGTTTGTACATGGTTTCCAAGATCTAGGACGGCTGCAGAAATGGGCCTGGGCCATTCTGCAAGTCCAGGCCACATGTGTGTTCCTCTCGCCATTTTTAAATACGTCACCTCAGGATTTCCATAACCTCCTTGAAAAGAATGAGGAAAGCAATACGTTCCCCAGGGCTACTGTGGGCCTGGAAAGGCTCCGGATAGCTCAGCAGGGCTTTACACACAGCAGCCAAACCTCAGGGCAGGTCCGCAGCCCCCGCATCATGGCCACATCCTAAACTGTGGCCAAGGTAGGCACGTGCCGACTTTTCACATGGGGTCTTAGTGCTGTCCTGTGAGCCTGTTTCTGGCCCTTGTGTCTTGGAGATGGAGGTATCTAGTGCTTACCTCTTCCAAATTGTGTCTACGCCGAGTTTTCTGTTTGGAGTAGAATCTGTATAGTTCTGCGAACGGCACCAAATCTCATTCTGAGGCTTTAAGTGGAAACTCAGCTCACGATACCCTTAGGCCTAAGCTCGTGTCTGCAAATAGTTTCATCTTGTGGCAGCAAATTAGTTCTGGAGTTTGTTCTATTCTGTGCTGTCTCTGATGTCTGCCTCTGCCCGGCTTTGCTGAGTGATGCTCAGTCCTTCATTTGTCTTCTGAGCAGGGCGGGTCCTTTCCCTCGCCTGTCCTGACTTTCCAGCGGAGTGGCCGAGTTTAGGCTCTACCCTGTGTCTAGGCTCTCCGCAGAGGCTGTGGGGAGAGGCTCTTCGGAAAGCAGGACTGAGGCCTTAATTAATGCTTTTTGCTGTGGGGAAGAGACCTGATTTAGTCCTGAAGAAGTCGCTCACCCACTCACTCACCGAATGTGTTGCTGTCCCTTAGCTGAGGGCCGACCGGGCCGTGTGCTGTGTGTGCGGTGACCACTCGGTGGCCCTCCTGCACCTGGAGGAGAAGCGCTTCCTCCTGCGGGCCCGGAAGCACCTCTTCCCCGTGACCACCGTCAGATGGCGCCCGGTGGAGAACTTTCTGATTGTTGGGTGCTCCGACGACTCTGTCTACATCTGGGAAATTGAGACAGGTAAGCCGGGTTCTACCTGCTTCTGCCCTTTGGTACTGACTGCAGCAAGCATTTGGCAGGCCGATGGAAGTCCGGAGAGGGCTCCAAGGCACTTGCGGAAGGGAGAGCCAGCAGCCCCAGCAGACCCTGCCCAGGGCCAATTCGCTGACCGGGCAGTGCTCGGGAACGGGCCAGATATTTCTGGAAGCTATAAATAAAAACATAAGTTATCTACTTTAATTATTAACGAGAGAGAAATTTAGGGTCCTATTGGTCTCCAGTTATCATTAAATTCTGCCTTCTTCGGCATACTCACCATCTCAGCAACATTTTGAACTAATTGATGATCAGTAGTAATGGAATATAATTAATTATAAAACTCCGGAAAGTTGAGTCAGGGAAACTGAAGGAACTTCTGATAACGTGCTGCAGAGAGTGATCTTGAAAGGTTCTTTGGGAAGCTTCAGTGCATGGCTAAAGATCAGCAGTGACGCACTTCAGAAAATGCTGGGGCCAAGTCACACAAGGAGTGGTGGCTAGTGAACGTGAGTCAGGGTTCACCGAGCCTTGGATGATTGCATGGACGCATCTGTGGTTGGACACTATCACCAGCCCGGGCAGTTTATAACACTGTAGTTTTGAGCAGGACTCACTAAGATAATTGCTCTGTGCTTTGCCCTTGACTGCTGTGTTGATGGTGATGACTGAAGTGCTCAAGCTTTCTGGGTCTCACGTTGGGGCCTCAGTTTACAGCTCTGACGGCTCTTGTATTTGTCTTCCCGGGGTAGGCAGGGAAGCCGTAGTCACTGTGTCCTTTAAGAGGAAGGGCGACTGGTTTTCCCACATGGAAATGTGTGGATTGCAGCTCACAGGTGCTGACCCTCGGAGGGCTTGCTATGTTTTGCGTGGTGAGCCCCGGCTTGGGAGAGTCATAGAGTCTTTAGGGTCTTGGTGGAGCTGCTATGGCAGATGAAATCCTCTCTGGAGCCTGGGGTCAATCCAGGACCTGTGAATGAGCCCTGGGTGTCCTTGGGTGGGTTCCCTGGTGCGTCTGTGCAACAGGCCTCATCCTCCTTCCAGCCTGGGCCCCAGGAGCTGGCGCCTGGAGGCTGTGAGTGGGGTCTGTACATGGGAGCCCTCAGTCACAGGCTGCTGTCACTGCTCCTGTCCATAAACACAGCCGGGTCTTGACTTCTGCTTGTAGAACCCTAGTCTGTGAAACACATCTGCTTACAAATGCGGACAACTGCCGTTCAAACTGGGGATGCACGGTAAGCGAACGTGTTTCCATGGATCAGTGATAGTGAACCTTTAGAGACCAAGTGTGCAAACTGCAGTCCCATACCCACGTATTTATTCCACAGTGCCCCCACTGCAGTGACACCTGAGTACTGAGGTTTTAGTTTCAAAAAACAGCTGTTATCCGATGCTGCACTGCGGGGGCGACTTGGCCCTCGTGCCTACAGAGAGGGCTCTGCGTGCCCACTGCGGCCCCATGCCACAGGTTTGCCACCTCTGCTACAGCTGTAGAAACTAGCGAAGGCAGAGAACTGCCCGGTCCCTTACAGGGGACTTCTCCGGGCCTGCAATTTGTCACTGAGGCTGTGGGGTACAGGAAGGACAGCAGCCCACTGGTAACTCTTGAAATTATATTTATTCCCATGTGTTTTACTTCTGTGATTTCTTTTTATACCCCCAAAATACATAACCAACACCATAGAACATTTGAAAATAAAGAAACAGGAAGAAAAACAATGCCTTCCACTGCCTGAGCAGCAGTGCTGTGTACGTTTTGATCTGCTGTCTGCTGGGATTGCCCATGCTGAGGAGTAGATGTCCATGTCTTTCCACTGTGGCCCTGTCAGGACCTGGACTCCGGCTGGCCCCAGGAGGTCTCGAGCAGACTTTACGGGGGATTGAGGCAGAGGGCAGCAGTGGGAGATGAGGTCCCAGCATGGACCCTGGCCATGGGGGCTCTTCCCACAGAGGACACTGTTGCTGCCTGTGAGTGGGGATGCTCAGGAGGACCCGTCACCCCTGATCAGGGAGATGCAGCCCCACAGAAGGGCAGGGATTTGCCTCCATTCGCCCAGGGCCACCAGGAGCCCAAGGCCAGGCTGTGCAGTTCAGCCTTGCTCTGACAGATCAGGACAGCCAGGCCGGGCAGGCTGTGGGGGCTGGCGAGCGGCCAGGGGCACCACGGGGCCATTCTGGGCCCTGGAGACTCTCTCTGCCACAGTGGGCCGTTTCAGTCGCTTCCTGGGCAGGGCTTGTGTGCAGATGACCCATCAGGTCACCCACCAGTTGCACGATTTGGTACCATGTACTCACCTCAAGCTTGCTGCCCTGGTGGTACTGGTGCAGTGCGGCCTGGCTGGGCCCTGTCATTGCTGCTGTGTGACTTGCCACTGCCACTTGTGTCCCCTGGTGTGGCAAGCCGCTCACTCCCGAGGCCCCCTTCTCTGGCTGTCCTGCGACCCCTCAGCACCCCGTGTGGGTGGCTGGGGGCCTGTTCTCCTCGCCTCACTCCTTCCGGCAGGCAAGTTCATGTTGCTCCTCATAGTCTTGCATCTGACACTGGCATTGTTGTAGTTTCCTTTTAATTTCTGCACTTCTAATTTTGCTTAAAATTGAACAACCCACTCTCCCTTCCCTGGGCTGGATTTCTGATGGCTAAGACAGCTGTATGATGTTTCCAGTACTGCACTCTTACTTTACCCCTTCCCTGTAAAGGTGCAAAAATCTGGGAACAGGAAGTTTTTTTGTTTACATTTTCATAAAGTTTGGGGGGAAATACAGTAGCAGCCAAGTCTGACATGGCTGCACAGAGTTCACAGTGAACATTCCTGTCACCTTGTGCCTGGCACATGGGGAGAGGTGAGGGAGGTGATGGCATGAAGCAGCCCAAGTGCCCATGGGGCTCAGGAGATTGGGGTGCAGAAGGTCCATCTGGCCGTTAGGCAGGTGTGGGGCTCTAGATCCCCACTGCCCCGCCAGAAGTTCATGGTTGGCCTTCTGTCCGTGTGTCCCCTGGGCCTCCCGGGGCTCCGGCTGTGCATCCTCTGTGACATTTCCCTGGACCTTTGCCTCTTTGCTTTGCTTGCAGCTGTTCTCTCCTGAGGGTTATGCTGAGTTTCACGGGCGAAGGGCCCTCTCTCTGTTCTGTGTCTCTAGCACACTACTCCTCTACGTACCTGAAGGAGGAGCAAGTTGGCTTAATGTGAGCTATCAGTTCTTTCAATGCTAGCACACCTCCAGGGAGTAGATAGGAGCAGTGGGGATCAGAGTAGGGGAAAGGCCCCAGAATGAAATGGCACAGTGGCGTGAGGGGGGGCACAGCAGGGCCCTTGGTGGAGGGGGACAATGCTGGAAGGCAGGAGTCCCTGGCCCTGTCTAGCACTGGTCTGGTGGCCATGCTGTATCAGCCTGGGGAGGGAGAGGGGAGGCTGCAGGGTGGGTCCGGGCGCACCGGGGGTCCGCCTGTCTGGCTGAGGAGAGGACTCCTCCACTGCTCTGTCGCCCTGCTCGCTCACTTTGTCACCTTTGGGTAGAGGAATACTGATTCCCCAGAGTGCTTAATGGGCCCCCAAGAGAATTATTCACTTTCAAATGAAATTTGAAATAATTCAGGGGATTTTATTCACGGTAGTGGATTTACATAGCAGAACATTTACATAATGAATTTCTTTTGCGTTATTAAAATAACTGCTGTGATTGAATTCTTCGGTTATGCCGATCTGTATTGTGAAATATAGCTTAATAAATAAGTGGGTTTTTTTTGGTGAGGAAATGAAACCTTATTTGCTTGAAAATAAAAATTTCTGTTTAAGATGTTCAGGAAAGCTTTTCTCTGTGCACAGTGGGGTAGAAAATGTGTTCTTGTTTGTGGACCATGACCTCTATTGCGATTTCTCAGCTGTGCGTGCTGGTTGAAGAGAAGCCATAGATAAATCCCTAAAGGACTGGGTGGGCTGTATTCCAAAAAAGCTTTACTCCTAAACACAGGCAGCAGGAAGCTCAGGTTTATAGACCCCTGAGAATGGCGATTGCTGTTTTTGAAGATCTTTGTATGTACCGTGCATATACAAACTTGCAGAAAAAAGAAATCAGTTGCGGGATTGCATAATAATGTGAATATATTTAGTGCCACAGAATTGTATACTAAAAAATACGAAACAAACAAGCAAGTACATAAAAATCATTGTTTCCATGACAACCCCTCTGGAGGAGGTGCAGGCTTTCAGCCTGGGCTCCCAAGTGCACTGGGCAGGAAGAAGCAGATGTGGCCACCTCCCGTGAAGAAGGGGTGGGACGTCTGGTGGGGCCGGGTCCTGGGCTCTCGTCCGCTCCTGCACTGGCTCAGAGGCCTCTGCTTCCTCTCTGGCCCAGTCCCCACTGTCCAGCTAAGTAGGAACGTCCCCAGAGGGCAGCCGGGAACGGAGAGAGGAGTTGGCTGTGGGTCCTGTGGCAGCTATGCAGAATGCGGGGTCCTGAGCATCCCTCAGAGCTGGCTGTGTCCCTGTGGCGCTCCAGGGATGTCTGGCACAGCACTTGGCAGGGTTGCTGTATGCCAGCCTGTCCATCAGGACTTCATAAGTAAAATGGGAACAGACTTCAGAGCTTGCGCCTGGTGTATGGAATCTCCCATCTCTTAATGTGTTTTTCTTGTTAGTATTTAGCTGGAAATTTTTCAATCGACAGTGATGTCATGCAGTAAGCATTTGATTTTCCATGGTTTCAACGTGGATAGTCTCAAGTAGAAAAATTTGTAAAAAATTCAGAAAGATGAGTGTTGTCATCTAAGAGATAATAGGTCATATTTTAAGAAAATATCCAGTGTTGAATTTTCCCTAGATCTGAGTTTGCTGTAACCATTAGAACTGGGGATGTAGAGAACACATGAGTGAGGGACTCTGTCCCTCAGAAACATTGCGCGGCAGCCTGGGGGATTGCGGTGGTGTGGTTCAATTCCTACTTTGCGGCCCAAAATGTCCCCAAGTTCACCGTGTAGGGCAGCCGCT